TAGGCGTCGCAGAAGGGGATTCGCAGGAGCCGCTTGCCTTCGTTTTTGGGAACGCCATCGTCTTTCCAAGCCCAATTACCAAGAACCCATTCTCTTTTAAAGCCTGGAATGCAGTTTTCCAGCAATCTGAATACCAAAAGGTGTGGCAGCCCCCCAAGTTGCGGTGTTTAATTTGAAACGTTTCGCCCTACTGTGTCTGGTAGACCCTATCCTCGTTCTGGGAACGCGCGCGCGCAGGCTCGCGCCTTTTTTTTTTTTTTTTTCCCTCTTTTTTTTTTTTCTCCTTAAACTAAAGCTAACTTCAGTTTCTGCTTTTCACAAAGTAACCCCCTCCAGCCGTTTCTGTGAATGCCTTTCCCATAGGAAATCATCGTTTGCACGCGCAAACGGGGGGAGGCCGGGCACCTCCCCCCATCTAGTGGCAATAAAAACAGCATAGCACCGCGATGAAGACTAGACGTGCCAGCTTCAACATCCACCGAGATTGTGCACTTGTTCGTTACAAAAGTGTCTTTGAGGCCTTTTTAAAGTTCCATGGCTTGACGTGTATAAAGCATTGCTCAAGAGTATGTGTAAACTTGCAGCTCCTCCCGTGACGCTCTCGTTCGGTTCCTTTTGGTATCAGCAGGCAGCTCTCGCTCGTGCCCAACACCTCACCGAGGCGCTTCTCTTTCTTGTGGTCGCTCCTTGCAATGGGAAAATGTGCCTCGTCTGCTGGTTGCTGGGCCCCGCTGCGGAGCCTTGCCGTTTCCCGACAGACCGGTTCTCCCACACAGCGCACCCCCGGTGACGAGCCCTTTGCTACACTGGTGCTAACGAAGGGAAGATGAGTGGAACAGATATGTTAATGCAGCTTCGCCCTGTCAATCAGATTGCGATGCGCTTCCCCTCTGATTCCACGTTAATGCTTTGTGCAGAAGTCGATTAGAATTTATTGGCTGTATCTGTTTATAGAAAGGGGTGGGTTTTTTTGGCAATTTTTATCTTTATGAAAAAAAACCAACCAACTCAACCCCAACCTCTCGATGTATTGGTGCGGCCAGCCACAGAGAGGCTGCGAGCAGCAGCGCTTGCCTCCGCTTGAGATCATACCTTTGTCAACCTTGTTTGTCCAGTTCCATGGTAGCTCGTAGGCAGCGATGCCGTGATTCCAGCCCAGGCCCCCGGTGCGTCGTCAGCGCGTTGGCTTATTTCCCTCGCGTGCAGGTGGGCTGAAAGCGAAGAAGGACATGCCGTTTCACAGGAGGTGGTCGTGTCTGCCATCGAGCGAAGCGAGCGAGCTCTTCTCGCAGCTACCACTTGCTGAGCCGACTCCTCCTGCCGCCGTTGCCGTGGCCATCTTTGGCGGTGCGGATCTGACTGTGAGACTCGGACACATCTTGGACGTGACGGGATTTTACTGTTCCATAACAGACGCGCTTCCAGGACTATTTCTCAGCCTCTGTCCCATTTTCCCCCCCCCTCCCCCCCCGCTTCAGACCAATGCTCTGTTGGCTTCAGAGCACAGGCCACGGAAATCCTGCGGCTGTCACGTGAAGCAGAACAGTAAGGTTTGATGCAAGCCTTGACGGGCTTCCACTGTTTCAAAGAGAGATTGATTTTTAAATCGCTGACTGACTATTCAGGTGGCTGCTCATCTGCTCCCGCTGCCCCGCGGGCCGAGGGAGGGCCGTGCCCCGGTCTGGCCATGGGGTGCGCTGTGGTCTGTCGCTGTCGTGGTGGATGTCTCGGGGCCAGTGTTCCGTGAATGTCGTCTTGAATTGCATCGTGAGAAAAGTGCTTAGAGTTGAAGCTGGTGCTGGGTGACAGTGCATCTGGGTAAGGCAAATGAGAGGCAGTGAGGTGATCTCCGAATGGCATTGATGTGATTAACTTGAGGTCAGGGGTTCACACTAGAGTCCCAGGCTTGGCTTTTTCCTGCCCATACCACTGGACATCTGCTAACTCTGGATAGAGGGGAGAATCCAGGAAACAGCTATCGTTGTAGCTCCTGCAGGAGAAAGGAAACTTCGTTAGGACCATGAGGGCTCCTGGGAAGGTCAGCCACGGGCACAAAACATCGTATTTCAGGTGGGGAGGAACGCAGGGTATTCACATTTGCATCTGCAGGTACCCCCAGAGCTGACCTTTGAGGGGGGCTCAGCATGCAGGGCTCTGCCTTGACCCAGTTTGCTCTCGCCCTGCAGTCCCATTTCCCCCCAGCAAGCCTCCTGGTGCGAGGAGGCAGGAGAAAGCCGAGCTCCAGCAGCCTCCCCAGCGTTTTGGACGATGCCTGCACGGCAAGAGGCAGAGCGGTTGTGTTTTCAGCCTGCCGCTGGCCAGTGGCAGGGGCGTCG